ACACACACACACACACACACACACACACACACACACACACACACGCACGCACACACTTGAAAAAAAGGGTTGCACAGTAATGGGATAATTGTTGCAGCTTTTTGCCGCATGTTGCCAACGCAGCCGTCGAGTGTCCTGCGGGTTCCTGCGGCGATTTGCATGGCTCGACCTTTGCCTAAGCCTTTCGCTGTATATCCTTTTCTTGTCTTCTTCTTTTTTGCTGTGCTCTCGTTGTTGTGGCACAAAGAAAGGCGCGCGCGTAATCCTTTTGTGGGTGGACGTGGAATTGCATGAGCCGAGCGCATTAGCCATTGATTTCGATATTGAGATGGTAAGCAGGTGGCTCGACACCGAGGCGGCCGGAGGCGTGGCAGTTTTATTTTATACATGCATATTTAAAAAAGGGGGCGACACTAATGCCTGGCTTAGTGCCAGCATGAGTCAATAATTGAATGCGAGTGCGGTGAATGCGAAAAACGGACTGCCTGACTGGATAGATAGAGAGAGAGAGAGAGAGAGGATGAGGGAGGGGTATGTATGTAGAAGGGGTAAAGTGGCTGAGGCTGTGTATTGATAAAATGGGTTCAAGCACTGTTGTCCTTTTGGCTGACCTGTGCGACCTGTGTGCCCCCAACCCCCCCGAAAAAAGTAGAAAAAAAAATGAAAATGAAAATGAAGGTAGAACTCAACCCACTCTCAACCCACGCTGATGGTTTTTCATTGTTGCTGCGGTCGCGACACGCTGTGCATTTGAAACTTTGCCAGCAAATTGATAATTAACATGACACACACACACACACGCACGCACACATGTACACAAATACACATACATGTGTGCTGACAGGCGAACAGCGTAAAAAGCGTGTAAAAAAATTTTCCGTGACATTCGCGCGCTGCGCAACAAATATTTAAATTTTCCCCCCATTTTGTTGACAGTTTTTCACAGCGAGCTCTCTGCTTGTGTGTGTGTATGTGTGTGTGTGAGAGTGTACTCGTGTGTGGTAGCTATGGCAGCAGTCGCTTCATATTTATAATTACCAAATGGACAACAATTGGATGCGAGGACAGCAGCAGCAGCAGCAGCAGCAACAACTCTTGAATGCCAGCAGAAAAATACGAATCATGAAAAAAGTCAAACAATGCGTAATTAACGTGACAGCTACAGATACATCTGCATCTGTATCTGTATCTGTATCTGTAACTGGTATCTGTATCTGTATCTGTATCCGTATCTGCGGCCACTGCGTTGATGTGCTGACAGTTTTGCATTGTCAGGAGTCAAACAACTTTGTTGCTGTTGACTTTTGTTGCTGTTGCTGTTGTTGTTGCTGCTGTTGTTGCTGTTGCCCGTGTCAAAAGCGCAAAGTTCAAGGGTTAAATTGCGACAATATATGAGTGTGTACTCGCACACGGCATTCAAATGCGAATGACACGCATCAAGTGTCAGCGCGCTGATGGCTTAGGCAAGTTCAGGTCTAACTAACATGTGAGTGTATTCATGAGTGCACTCACCAGCGCATCGTTGACAACGAACATAAGTGCAGGTCAGCAAATAAATGATTAATGAACGAACTCGAATCATGAGAATATTCATGAATATATTCATTAGTATTCACGAGTAAATTGTAGCTGAGCGTCTAAATAAAAAACCTGACATGTTTTTTTGGATTTTAAGATTTTATTCATCAGTGTATTCACGAGTATTCATGAATGTATTCGTTGAAAACAGAATATAAATATGAGATTCAAGGCCAGAGATGTGGAAAGCCCTTTCAATTTTAATTGATGAGGATCATGAGTACATTTGAGTGATAAATGATCAACAACTAAATATTTGTATCAAATAACACTCAATTCCAGTACTGGAATGCATTCGAGTGCTAAGTATTCATGAGTGTGCATCAGAGAGACATTCCCAAGTGCAACTGAATAACTTCACTCATACCTGCTGCACTCACTGTGCACTCACTCATCCATTCACTCACTCAATCAAGTCGAACTCGAACGACGCCTGTCGATTGATGTCGCGTGGCTTGTCGCGTCTCACCTTTGACTCCGCTCACCCCGCTCGGCACGTGTCGCGCCTTCCGTTGGTCAAGCCAGCACCGAGCTGACCGCCTCAATGGTCAACGTGCCTCCCGACTTCTGACCCTTGGCCTTGCCTCAACCCCTTTAGCAATTTCTTGGCATTCTTCGCCTTTGTGCGTGTGTCAAATCCAGTTCGCATTCGCATTCCCGTTCCCATTTCTATTCACATTCGCACTCGAGTGTCCTGTGTGCTTTGTCCACTCAAGTGGTTTTTTTACCCTCTCTTTCTCCCTCTCTCTGTCTATCTCTCGCGCATTCCTTTGCCTCTTTAAATTACCCTCGAGGGCAGCTCGACTTCTGTGGCTGCTGACAGCTTCTGCTTTCTGCTGCTTTGTTCACTGTCCTGTTGGGCTTATCCGTTTCTCCTTGCCTCTTTCCTCTTCGCTCTTTGACCTGTCCATAACTCCACTGCCTCTCCCTCTCTCTCTCTCTCTCTCTCTTATGGCCTTAGTCCTTGGTATTGTTTTTATTGCTGTCTTTTGGCGCTGGGCTTTGGCTTTTCATCAGCTTCATCGTTCGCAGCATTTGCATTGAAAAATGTCAAAGTCAAAGGGCAGCAGCAGCCGCGTGACAATCGAAGCTGCCCCTCGCTCTGTCTCTCTCTCTCTCTCACTCGCCTGTTGTCCGAGTGTCCTTTTTGGTCCTGCTGCACTTCAGCTTTATCAGCCGTTTTGCGCTTTGATGTCGCCCACGTTCTCATTTGTTTTTTTTTACTGCATGTCCTTCGACATTCTCTCAGCTGCTTTTTTCTACTTTTTCCCTCTGTGTCGCAGGACAAAGCGTTTTACAGCGCAATTGGTCAGAAAGGTCCTGAGAGATGCTGAATGTGGGAATGGGAGGGGCAGTGGCAGGGGCAGGGGCAGGGGCAGGGCCGTGGGCGAAGGGGGCTTTGTTGTGTTAATGCAGCTGCAGCTTATCGCGCGCTCAGCAGCCCCGCGGCCCGATCAGGAAGGACTTATGGACAGCCGCGAATGCACATCCTTTGGCACACACACACGCACTTCAAACACATTTTTAGTGCACATTTTTGCCGCCTCGTTTGATCTTGATTTTAATTTTAATTTATTTTTTTTGGCGCTGGTCACTAAAGCATGGCTTGGCGGTTGGGTTCAGGGTTCAGGGGGGCAGGGGGTGGTGGCTTTCTGGCTTTTAATTTTGATTACGCAAATATGCGCATATGACATGCATGCCACAAAATGTGGGCCCGCTGCTCACCTGTGTGCACCGTGTTGGCCTCGGCATCGACGAGCTCCATTTTGGGGCGCTTGGCCAGCGGCTGCTGGCAGTCGTCGCCCGCTGGCTGCTCCAGCTCTCGCTCCCGCTCCTGCTGCTGTTCCTGCTCCTGCTGCTGCTCCTCGTCGAGCGGCTGCTCCTCTTGCGGCAGCTCATCGTCGGCGAGGGGCTCCTGCTTGACCTTCGGCTTGTCGTCGAGCAGCGCGCAGTCCTCGATGGCAGCGCGTCCGATGTGCACGTCCTGCTCGCCGGACTGCGGACTGTGCGGCGGCAGAGGCAGAGCCTCGCTGTCCGCCTTGGGCGTTGTATTGTCGTTCTCTGTCGAGGACATGGAAGGGTTAGTCCATGAGCCGTTGAGCTGCTCTGGGGTACTTACCATCCACGAGGCGCTTGGGCGTGCTGCTTGCTCCGTCCGCCAGCAGATCCGCCGGACTGGGCGGTGGTGTGTGGATGCGCGAGCCGCTCGCTGCGCTGCTCGCAACGGCCGCAGCCGCCGCCGCCGCAGCAGCAGCAGCTGTGGCCGCAGCAGCGGCTGCGGTTGCGGTGGGTGGTGCCACACCAACCGGAGCCGACTTGCGGCCTGTGATTGGCGCCGATATCGATGGACGGCGATTGACCAGGCTCAGTGGGCGGCCCTCGTCGGCATCGCGATCCATGCTGGGCGCCTGTGTGGTGCACTGGCCGTAGTTCTCCTTGTTGCACTGCATCACCTTGTGCTGTATGAAGCGGACAATGTCCGACAGCGCGAAGGTCTTCTGGCATGCGCCGCACGTGAGGATGTCCTGCGCGGCGACCGCATCGTTCTCTGTCGAGTCGGAATCTGCAATGGGCAAACGAATTGGTTACATTTTTGCTTTCGTCTCTTCGGCTTAGTCAACGTCATTCGCTTGTGGTGCTGACCCACCCCGCACCACCCGCTGCTAGCTGTGCGACACTTTTGCACTTGCAGTTCATAAATTTGGGCAACGTTTCTCGCTTTTATGGCCATCAATTCTGGCTTAATGCGCCGCCGAGCTAACCACATGAGCTCCCCGCCGGGTGGTTGGGCGCCCGTTGCCTAATTTACTTTTACTTCCACCTCGCTTTTTCCGCTTTTATGGCAGCGACTCCCGTTCGATTGCCATGAATAATTGTCTCCCATTTAGGGCAGAGTCTCTACAGGCAGACCGCCATGTGGAATCGTGGAGTAGAGCGTACGAAAATCAATATCGATAGAGGTACGTATCGATTTACAGCCACTTATCGATAAGTTTCGCTAATCAGAGTTTCTATGCATTAAGCACAGCGAATATTAATTGCAAATTGGCAATTGACATTCACACACACCATCACACACACATACACACACACACACTTAGCTAGATGTGTCACAATTGATTTGCAACAACAATTTACGCCTGGCAATTTGGCTGGGTTTTTACGCTGGCAGCACCCATGACCAAATGCCAAATGCTATGACAGCCCTCCTGCTCCTCCTCGTCGTGCCCCCTGCTCCTGCCGCTACTCACTTATTTACATACGGACACTGCTCTGGGCGCTGATAAGAGGGCGTGCTGCTGCTGCAGTAGCCGGGCTCGAAACGGGAGCGGTGGGGGCGGGGCCGGGGTCGGGACGTCGGCTAGTATTACGCGAATCGATTCGCTTGCACTGCTAATTTATGTATTTGCGCGCTCCCAAATAAAGCGACAAATGGTAAGTTCACCCCAGCGCAAACCACACTCAATCGAATGTAATCTATGCCCACACCTCCTCCTCCTCCTCCCCTGCTCGGCACTATTTGCATGTGTGTGTGGATATGTGTGCACATAAATTCCAGCGAAATGCCGAAAAATGTTGTGAGGCGCCTGCAATTAATTCGAGTCGCAATGAACTCGCCGAAATTGCTGCCAATTGTTTGTGCCACAGAAGAAGAAGAAGAAGAAGCAGCCGCAGCAGCAGAGACCGCAGCAGTGGCAGGGGCAGGGGCAGGGGCAGGGGCAGGGATAGCTATGGCTATGCCTGCCCTCGGGGCTAGGCAACTTTTGGTAATTTATCGATGAATTTTGATTGACCAAGAACTTTACGCACCAACCAAACACACACACAGAAGGGGATGGAGCAGGAGTCGCTGAGAGGCAGGAGAAGCTCTAGCTGCAGATTAGCCGTCAGGCATGTGCGACCAACAAGGGTTTGTCTATGCAAAAAGAAAACTTGATTGAAATGTTGTCAAATCGACAAAGTTTTCCTCACATTTGGTCAATCCCGAGACCCGAAACCGAATTGACCCAATTCAGAGCCGATCAAGCCGAAGCTGCGACTGAGCTGAGATGAAATGCAGAGCATAAAATGAAATCCATGAGAAATGTTTGTTTCTTTTGTTCAAGAGATTTTTTTTTGTTTTTATTATATATTTATATATATATTTTTTTATTTAATATTTAGTCTTAGTTTACTATATGAATTATATTTTTTATTATTAATATGTCAATAATATATTTTTTATTTATTTATTTATTTCTTATTAATGTTTTATTTATAATCATATGTTGTATTGTTTTTTGATTAAATATACATTCATTTTAAAGACTTTTTCGCATTGCCCTATATCCTATTCACCTATAAATTAGTTCTATTTATTTATTGATTAATTTCTGCGCTTTTCTCTCGCTCCCTTTGGGCTTCACATTTGGCGGCGCCCTTAAGCTAATTGCTCATCTTTTATTACGCACAGCCGCTGCTCGGCTGCAGGATTACAGTCTAGCCTACTCCCACCTCACAGCAACTCCAGCCTCGCCGCCTCCTGCTCGAGCTGCCTGACTTTGTCAATTAGCTGTCGCAACATTTATGGCAAAAAAAAGGAAAAACAAAAAATATTTATTGACGCGCTGTCGTTTGCCACTTGTCAAGTTTGTTGCTGTTGTTGTTTGGGCAGTTTGAACAATTTGCGGTTGCCCATACACACACATACGCACACACACACATATCGTCTAATGCGCCCCGAAGCGTTGCTCAACTTTTTCTTTTACTATTTTTTTTGCCACGTCCTTTGTCCGTCTCTCTGTTGCGTGTGTGTCCACCCCCGCCCACAGCTGCCGCCCGCTCGTTTGCTATTTTTTTTATCAATTGATTGTCCTGCGACAGGGTGACAACAAGGTCCTCACACACACACACACACACACACACATGCTTTTATTTAGCTCATATTATTATTATATGTTTATATATATATTCCTTTTTTTTTGGGTAATTTTGTGATTGCTTGGGCGGACCTTGGCCCTCTGCCCGCTGCCCGCTGGCCGTTGCTGACTTTTCGCTTTTGGTTTCTGTTTCAATAATAACTACAATAAAAAACATATATAGAGGAAAAAAAGAATATGCTTTCGCTTCCCCTCGTTGCCCTATTGACATTCGCTTTTTATACCCATTTTTTGTTGCTGTTGCTGTTGTTGTTGTCGTTGTTGTTGTTGCCGTTGCTGTTGGGTATTTTATTTATTGATTGGCGATCATTGGCGTGAAATCGACGCAGGACGCAATTAGCCGCCTGTCTGACTCCATGAATTAAACATGTGTGGTTGTTGTTGTTGTTTCTGTCAGTTGTTGTTGTTGTTGGTAGTTGTTAGCTGCTGTTGCTGCTGCTGCTGCTGCTGTGCGATTGGCCAGTGGACAGCCAGCGGGCAGGTAAAACTGACTTGTTACCTGCTTTCATGTTGTAGGCGTTGCCTCGCGTTCACTCGAGACTGGCATAGAGAGAGAGAGAGAGAGAGAGGGAGTGCTTGAGTTTCTCTCTGTGTGCGTGCATCGGACAGGGGTAACAGAGTCGAGGAGGGGGGCGTAACTATTTGACTAAGCGATTAGATTAGATGCGAGCGAGTGTGTGTGTGTGTGTGGCGAGAGATTAACGCGCGCGTCTGGCAAAAACTAGGTAAATATAAATAATATACAAAACTTATTGACAGCTCCAAAAAGTCTGCTGCAATATTAGGAGCGAGCGCAAGGGGAGGGGGGGCTAGGGTTGCAGCAACAGCAGAAGCAGCAGCAGACTGCGACAGCAGCTGCTGGCCAAAAAGGTGTATCGAAAGGGTGTTCAAAGTGCCAGCAACTGTCAAATGTCAGACAGACGCTGACAGTCGCCTGACAAGTGTCAACAGAAGGTAGTTCCAACTCTTGTTGTGTGTGTGTGTGTGTGGGAGAGAGAGAGAGTGTGTGTGAGTGAGAGTGAGAGTGAGCTCACGTGTATTTGGCGAATATTTCATAAAGTCAGATCATAAATTGAATTATCTGCACAAAAGGGCAAAAAGGACACGACCTAAAAAGGGTTCACCATACTCACACACACACACACACACACACTGGCACTAACAAAAGCGCAGCCAACAACAGCAATTTAAGCAGCCAGAACGAATGCGCTCAGCACCCCCTTCCAATCAAACACCACCCCCTTCCCCCCACCGCCGCCTCCTCTCACTTGACCAGCTGTGCTGACAGCCAAAAACAGTCTCGAAAATCTCTTGAATTTTTCGCACAAAAATGTCTGTGATGTCATCGCATATGTGTAATTAATTCAGCTGCGCCCCCAGCCCTCTATGCACACACACACGCACACACTCCCACACACACACACACACACACACAGGCAGAGACAATAAATAAATTGAAGTGCGTCGATTTGTAAACCGCGCAGCTTAAGATTTATTTACGAGCTGCTGGCAAAAGAAACAAATAAAACTATCCTGCGGCTATTAATATGCGCCTAAGTGGGTGTGCGTGTGTGTCCGTGTGTGTGTGTGTGGCAAGAAGCACAATTAAGAATTAACATATTAATAGGACTTTTGCGCAAATTATCAGGCAGGCACAAATATGAAACTCAAGCAGGACTCAACTACAGATACACAGTCAAAGATACAGATACATCTATCTCTCTCTCTCGCTCACTCGCACTCATTCTTCCTATTTTTGTTATTTATAACATTTTCATGTTATTGACTGCACGCTGCGGCAACTGCCCCACCAATCGAGCCCAACCCCACTGTGCCAACCACCTCCCATATGCTGCCAGCCTCCAGCCTCTCCTTCCTCCTCCTCCTCCTTCTCCTGCTGCTTCTGCTAACCCCGCCGTAGCCGCGGCTGCTGCTGCTGCTGCTTTTGTTGTAGGCGTGGCACAGGCAGAAAACAATACGTTGATTGTGCTAATTTATGCCCCCCACCCATACACCCACACACATGTGGAGCAAAGGACGCGCTTTATGGCCAAAAAGGTTATGGGCCAGTCGAGGCTGGCTGCGCGTCGCCGTTTAGCTGGAAACCAGGCTGGCCATAAAAACCAGGCGAGCGCCACACGGACGACTGTTTTTAGGTGCCCACGCACACACACACACACACGGACACATACATGAGCACTAACAGGCGCGGACCAAATGAAAAATGGCGACTGAAAAATAGCGGAAAATTGTTACGTGGAAGAAAAGCAATGGGGTGGGATGGGGAAAAAAACGAAAAAGAAAATAGCCAACCGAATGTGAAGCAACTGCAGCAGCTTTGATGTGCGCCCAGCGGAAGGTCAGCGCGAATGCTGCAGCACATGAGCTCACACACACACACACACACATGCAGACTCAGAGCTATATACCCATGCAGAGTTTGCAACGAAAGCTTAAAGCTCTTTAAAGTAATATGCGCTGTGAAGCAGGACTGGCAGGAATCTAATGTAATTCAACTATATTTGATAAGGAAGTCGAAAGGAAGTGCTCAAGAGAGCTAACGAATAAATAAACGCTTGCCAGAGATTACCACTCTGAAGTTTTGCTCGAAGGAAATATGAAATGAAAATGCTGTTTAAAGTCAATTTTATATATTCCTAGACTCAGAGTCATAGAATAAATATAAGTGTATGTATATATATTTGGTCCAACAAATATATTATTTAAGCACATAAAATTAAAAAAAAATAAAATAAATAAAATTTAGCTATGCTATAGCTGTTTACGACTAAGAATTAAACAAAGTATTTAAATGGCTAAATAGATAGATGGATATTTAAAAATAAAACTTTGTAATATATTTTTTTTGCAATATATTTTCTGACACTTCCCAACTTTCTCTTAGTTTTAATGTTCCTAAGAATCAGAACTCACTGGAGCTTCAAGAAATAAACATTTTGGACATTTGAAAGTATATCAAAAAGGAAGCTTAGGAACTCTTTTCTCTAGCTATTTGTTATATACTTATATTTATATATTTATTTTTCTGAATTTTCTTCATTGTTTTCCCTGGAAGTTTTCGCTTCAAAGTTTTCATTTCGTTTATGAATGGTTAGAAGAAATGCAAGAAGAAGCAGAGCTTATTATGACACCGAGTGCTCCATTTGTCGAGTCGTTGTCTATAGACAAATAAATTATGTACTAAAAAACAAGTTATTGTTGCTGCTGTTGTTGTTGTTGAAAAGAAATGCTGTGTAAATATTTAAAAATGCTGAGCCACATTTTGTTTGTTGTCGTCTTATTGTATTGTTTTTTGTTTCTTATTATTATTGTTATTGTTTCTGCTGTTGTTGTTGTTGTTGTTGTTGGGTTTTGGCCAACGGGGCTGCTTCTTGAGCTCATTTAAAAAGTTAACGAACAAAAAAAAAAACACTGACAACGAAGCGGGACAGACATAAGAAAAAAAGGTTAAACAAATTCGAAATTTTTCGTTGCTATTGCGATAACACACACACACACACACCTTTGTGGGGGCGTATGTGTGTGTAGTGGACACACTCACACACACACACAGCTTGACAGTGACAAAGCGACGTCAGGCAGCTGAAAACTCATGCAATGTGAAGGCACGGCGGCAGGCAGCAGGCAGGGGCGGGGGCAGGGGCAGGGGGCAATGCCTTAATTTGTTTAAACAAATTACGTGGATAACCAACAGGCAGGCGGCTGGCGGCTGGCAGCGGCTAAAGGTGTTTCTTTCATTTCATTTCTGGAGCAGCTGAAACTACAACAAACACACATGCAATTGCCTCTATGTGTCGGTGTGTGTGTGCGTGTGTGTGTATGTGTGTGTGTGGGTGCCTTATCAGCTAGCTGGCGGCCAGCGACGCGTCGCCTCGGCGTTGCCATCGCCTTCATCGCAAAGTGTTTTAGCATACAAATTTGGTTTTATTTGCCTGCGTTGTTGTTACCTGGTGCTCGCCCCCCTCCTCCTCCGCCTCCTGCTGCCCCAGGAGGGGCGTGCTGCTGCTGCTGCTGCTGGTGGCCAGGTGCCCATGGCATAGTCCAAGGGCAGCGAGGGAGCTTCGACACACTGGCTTGCATGCGAGGGTGGCGCAGCGGCGGTTAGCCAAAAGCCAAACGCTGAATGCTGATAACACCCGCATGTGCTTGCTGCCCGACTTCGTGCCCATTCCCTCCCCATCCTCACATCCCCACGCTGCCGCTAACATAACCCCATGCCATGGTGTGTGTGTGTGTGTGTGTGTGTATCTGGACAAACAAACAGTCCGCCAGGTTGAGGTTGAGTGAATGAGCCATATGCAAATATAGGCGGCCTGGAAGCGAGCATTAAATGTGGTCACATATTCAAACACACGCACACACATACATCCACTGTGTGTGTGTATGTATATAGCGTGCTCTATATGCCTCGACACAACAACAATAAACTGAGCAATGTGTGTGCCAAGCCAAAAGCTGGACACACACAACCTACGAGGACTGTTGGACTACACACACACACGCACACACACATGTACATCTGCTTAGATATATGCATATATCGGGGGCATATATACTATGTGGCCATGGCAAGCGCTGCTGATAAGTACGAAGGAAATGAGCACAGCGTCGCGCCAGTCAAGCCATACGAGTTTCAGTTACATTTCAAATCAGCAGGCACAAGCATAAAATTATCGATAAATGTATCGAAGAGGCAAACAAGCGAAGCAACTGCAATACAGTAGAGTGATTTGAGCCATGATTTCTTAGCCAAGTCAACATAGACATTACTATGTCTTGACCGCGATAACTGCCGATCGATAATATTATTGATAACAAGTGGCGATTGTCCAACGGCTGCAAGCGCTATCAGCCGAATTGCTGGGCTTGCCCTGCGGGCGTGAGCTTGCGGGGGGCGTGGCAGTGCCATGCGAAGGCTTCAGCCAGAGCGGCCAAGTCCAAAAGACTTGGCCCGCTGTTTGCCTAGTGGCATGAAGCGTAGCTATTGTCAGTGATAAGAGGTTGTTATTGTTGTTGTTGCTGTTGTTGTTGCACGCCTGCGACAATGTTGTAATGTGGAGGTTTTACTTTTAATTTTTCCAGGTCGCTAAAATATTTGTATTTGTATTTGTGTTTGCATTCTGTGGTGGGACGCGTTTGCTTTATATTCACCCGAAAAGTCAACGACAACAACGGACATGCCATATGTAAATAGGCGCGATCTATATAAGAATGTCTATATGTATGTATTCATATATACATATACATGTATATGCGTGTATAGCAGATAGGTTGGGTCTATGCCATATAAGACCTGGGTACACATAAATGTATCTCAGATTGTGTGGGTGCGGGCGTTCTTGTTGCTGTTGCTGTTGCTGTTGTTGTTGCTCTGCTCGGTAACAGGCGCTTATCAAAAGTACAAAATGAAAAAAAAAGAACGTGAAAAAAAGAAGGCACACGATTCTTGCGTTGCTGTCGCTGCGTCTCCCATGTGGAGGACGGCGAATGATTAAAGAGACAACAAGAAGAGCCGAACAACCGGAAAGGTGAAGAATTCTTGGAAATGCTGCAAACTATCTTGAAAGATCGTCTATCTCAGCGCGACTTATTACGCGCAACATTGCCTCTTGATAAGCAAGCACACACACACACTGCCACGCCCCCCACCCACCCACTCACTCACAGCCGTGCTGTTGGGCTAGCATTGCTCCGAAATGATTTTGGTACACTTACGGCTCAGCGAACGGAATCCATGATCCTCACTGATCGACAGCATTTTGTTGTACATTTTGTAGAGTTGGGTGTTTTAGTTTGTTCAGCTTGTGGGAACTTCACTTTGTCATTTAAAAAGATTTGAATATTGTTTGGTCAGTGTTTCAGTTTTTGGCACATCACACAGAAGTATCTGTATACACCGATATATATTAATATTGATATATATTTTGATGGAGTTCTTATCAAGGCACCGCGTTGCACACACACACGATCGTAGGTAATCCAGGTGTCCTGCGCTGTGTGCGGAGCCAACAAAAAAAAAAAAAAAAGCACGAGCAAACGAGACGAATCTCGACTTCGGAACGTATTCAAAATTCTCGCACGTGTAACGGTTAAGTTGATGCGGCTTGTGTTTCGATATCGTCGAATGCGTTTTTACGTAGTTTTTCGTCGTTTAGCCTAACAGGATCTTGAGCGCGTCCTCTGGTCTGTACGGGCTGAGCGCGTGTGTTGTTGACCCCACAGAGGCTTCACGTGGACTGACAATCGAAAGTCTTCCTGTGACGGTCGTCGACGGTCCTGCCCCTGTCTCTCAGTCTCTGAGGCTGTGCGGTCGACGTCGGCGTCGACAGCACGGTGACTGCATTCGTCTCTGTGTGAATGTGAGTGTGAGTGTGAGTGAGTGTGTGCTGCGGACTGCGTTTGCCCTCGGTCCGTGTGCGGGACACACGAGAAAACGCACAGAGAAAAAACAAAAAAAAAACGTGTGTGAACGTACACACATACACACACACGCACGCGGGGTAGTTGCTGCTTGCCTCTAGCTCGCACTACTCACACTCATGCGTGTGTGTGTGCTGCGAGTGGACGTGGACTAAGAAAAAGGGGGATGAAAACATCTTTGGACTCAGCGGCTCTGCTCCCTTGGCCAGCGACAGCGCCAGCGCCAGCGCTAGCGGCAACTGCGCTGCTGCTGTCAACGTTCGCTGCCAGCGTCGCAGTCAGCGTCGCTCGCTTTGTTTGGCGCTCCTGCTGCTATCTGCTCTCCCCCACCTCCCCTTTCGCCGTCTGCCCATCGCCAATTGAGCTGTTACACAGCAACAACTACAACAACAACAACAGCAGCAGCAGGAAGAGGCAAGCGGCATATGATAACTGAAGATCTAAAGGCAACAGGCTGACAGAGACAAAGACAGAGACATAGTGAGAGAGAGTACAGCAAAAGAGGAAATCAGTGGCAAAATCTGACATAGTTCTACATTCAGATCTCCAAGAATTTATAAAAAAAAAATTAAATAAAAATATGTCCTCAGGTATCAAATATGGAAGAAAATATCAGGTTAAGGTTATTTCAATTCTAATTAGACAGATATTACGAATTTACCTAAACATGTATGGATGACAGACTTTCCAAATATATTGAAAATATATTTATAAATGAATAAATATGTATTTATGTATAAACGCATAATAAATAATTAATTAATATAATTTATATATAGATATTTATTCATTTATAAATATATTTTCAGTATTGGAATAGAATTTAAGATTTTAATCAGAAATATGAATATTATTTTCCTATAAAATATATATTTATTATTTATTATTTATGATCATCATAATATGATTTATGATTTATTATTTATTATGTATTATTTATTATTTATTATTTATTACATATTATATATTATATATTATATATTATATATTATATATTATATATTATATATTA